TACCACTGGCCACTGCTAGTATTTTATAGTTTTATACCCACCCTGGTGCACCAAGCTGACCACAAAACGCCCTCCACAGTGTGTTTCAGGACACTAGGACATGCTCGGTTACTCCAAGTGCTGTATAATGGATGAGCCATGCTGTGCTGGTGTTCCCTCGGCTACTGAAACCAGAACGCTATCAGCTCAGTAGAAGTCCTCCGCTCAATTATTCAGCATCATATTGCAGACACTAATTGGCAGAGCTGTAAGGGCTACGTTATCCTCACAGACATGTTTGGCGATCATGTGACCCCTCTCAAAGACGGACATTTAGTGTAGAGCCTCCAGAAATCGAGACACTGCAGGTTTCCATTCTGATGTTAAAAATCAGAAAGTAAAGATGAGTAAACCTTCCTTTACTCTCAAGCAATCAGCTTTTTTAGCTACTTAGCAGCTAAAATGACTGAGCGACTGTATTCTATACTGGAATACTTTTTAATGGCCTTTTGGCGTTATCATAACTGTTTGCTTTATCTGTAATAAAATCATAAAAATTTTCAGTGCACTTAAAGTGAGACGTTAGACACACTGTACCTTTTCAGGTTTGAGGTTTCGTGCCTCCTGCTCTCTGACACACAAACAGGGTAACCAAATATAGGTGTGTGTGTGCGTTTCTCTGTGTTTCACTACTCCGCTCAAACCGTCAGACGTTATTATGCAAGCTCATGGAGAAGTCAGCGATTGTGACACACGGGGTTTTTGTAAACTATCCGAGTTATCTCACTCTGTCCATCAGAAAGCGACTGAGTGTCAAAGTACAGACTCCTGCGTGTGGCAAGTGTAGGTTTTCACTAATATGACGACACAGATCGGCAAAAACCCTTTCACCTACTCAACTAAACAATCTGCAGTGATATTGAATACGTAGGTTGCAGGGCCAGTTCCACAGTGGGTTAATTACATGCACACACACACATACACACAAAAGAGATCTGTTAAGAGCCGGCTCTCTCAGGCCGGTTGCACTGATTCAAACAAGTATTACAGGACCCGCGGCTGTGTCTCACTTCTCAGCTCAAACATAAAGGAGTAAAAAGTCAGTTAGTCATGCTGGTATTCCAGGAATGGGAAATGTTTGCGCCGGTCTGCATTTCCTCTGCATGTG